GCGGCCCTGGCCGTCGTGGTCCTGGCGCTGGCCCTCGGCCTGTCCGGGCGCTGGCTGCTGGCGTGGCACCGTGCGCGGCGGGCGATCACGCTGCACCCCGCGCCGCCCGCGCTGCCCCCCAACTCCTCCAGCCCCACCGTGACCCCGGACCTCTTCTGGGGCACCTATCGCCCACACGTCTATTTCGGCATGAGGACCCGCAGCCCGCAGTCGCTTCTCACAGGTATCCGGGCCCGGGCGGGCGCAGGGCGAGGCTGGGGTTCCCAGGAACGGGGGTCTCCTCTCTCTGTGGCTCACGTGGCCGCTTCCCCCCCCCCCAGGACTGATGTGGACGCAGCAGGGCGGCGCCCCAGGGCCCCCGAAGCTCAGGCACACGTGTGAGCAGGGCGACGGCGTGGGTCCCTACGGCTGGGAGTTTCACGATGGTGTCTCCTCCGGGCGGCAGCGGATTCAGGACGGGGCCCTGCGGCTCACCACCGAGTTCGTCAAGAGGCCCGGGGGCCAGCACGGAGGGGACTGGAGCTGGAGAGTGACCGTGGAGCCTCAGGTCAGGGCCCAGGGCGCCTTTCTCTGCCCACACTCCTCCTGTCAAGTGACCAGTAAGTAGCAGCTGCTCAGAGGCAGGTGGCCCGCGGGGGCATCGCCACACGGCATTCCTGAACGCTGGTTTTCTGGTCTGTAAAATGGGGACGATAGCAACTTAGTGTCTAGGATTGTTGTAAAAATCACACGTAGAATTCTTAGGATGGTACCCAGCTCAGGTGCTGGGTTCTCCCCCAGAGACCCCGCTGAAAGGCTCTTTATTCCCCCTCACTGTGGCCTCGGCTCTGTCACACGGAGGTCTTCCCGTACTGCGCCTGCCTGGTACCTCTTGCAGATTTCCATACAAAGCTGTCAGCCTAATTACCTCTCTGTAATTTTTCCTCTTTTGGTCCTACAGGCTTCAGATACCTCCGCCTCCCCTTTGGTGTCTCTGTTCTTCTATGTGGTGACAGATGGCAGAGAAGTCCTGGTGCCGGAAGCTGGGGCCAAGGGGCAGCTGAAATTCATCAGTGGGCATACGAAGGAACTGGGTGACTTCCGCCTCAGTCTGCTCCCACCAACGGGCCCTGGGGACTCCAGCCCCAAGTATGGCAGGTGAGTGGGGAGTGTCAGTGGAAGTGGCGTGGGTCTCTGTCCTGCCCTGGATTGTATGTCCTTTCTCCCTCCTCCCTGACCAGGCCGGTGGCCCCTGCATAGCTGGGACCCTCCCACTCCACCTCCTGGTGCCTTCATCGATTTCCCCATAGAATAACTACCACTTCCTGAGTAACGTTTCCTGTCCATCTCTTCCTTTTCAAGCTACAATGTCTTCTGGTCCCCCAACCCAGGACTGCCACTGCTCACAGACCTGGTCCAGAGTCGCCTCAACAGCTGGTTCCATCACCGGCCCCCGGGGGCCAGCCCGGAACGCTATCTTGGCTTGCCAGGCTCCCTGAAGTGGGAGGACAGAGGCCCAAATGGACAAGGGCAGGGGCGAGGACAGTTCCTGATCCAGCAGGTCACTGCAAAAGCCCCCTTCTCTGTGGAGTTGGTGTTTGAGTCGGGCAGTGCCCAGGTTGGAAGAAGCCAGGCCCCGGAGCCACTAGCTGGCGACCGGCTGACGCAGGCCCTAGAGAGCCGGGCCGAGGCCTTCAGAGAACGCTTTGAGAAGACCTTCCGGCTACAGAAGAAGGGCCTGAGCCCAGAAGAACAGGCTCTGGGCCAGACTGCCCTCAGCGGCTTACTCGGTGGGATCGGCTACTTCTACGGACAGGGCTTGGTGCTGCCAGACATGGGCGCGGAGGGGTCTGAGCAGAAGGCTGACCCTGCTCTGTTCCCAGCTGCCCCCCTCTTCACAGCCGTGCCCTCCCGCTCCTTCTTCCCACGAGGCTTCCTCTGGGATGAAGGATTCCACCAACTTCTGGTCCAGCGCTGGGACCCCCAGCTCACTCGAGAGGCCTTAGGCCACTGGCTGGGGCTGCTCAATGCTGATGGCTGGATCGGGCGGGAGCAGGTGTTGGGGGACGAGGCCCGGGCCCGGGTGCCGCCGGAGTTCCTGGTGCAGCGGGCAGCGCATGCCAACCCCCCAACCCTGCTTCTGCCTGTGGCTCACATGCTGGGGCGCGGTGACCCCGCCGACCTGGCCTTCCTCCGCCAGGCCTTTCCCCGCCTGTATGCCTGGTTCTCCTGGCTTCGTCACAGCCAGGCAGGGCCTCTGCCACTGTCCTACCGCTGGCGGGGCCGCGATCCAGCCTTGCCAACCCTACTGAACCCCAAGACGCTGCCGTCGGGGCTGGACGACTACCCTCGGGCCTCCCACCCCTCGACTGCTGAGCGGCACCTGGATCTGCGATGCTGGGTGACCCTGGGGGCCCGGGTGCTGGCCCGGCTGGCGGAGCAGCTGGGGGAGACGGAGGCAGCTGCCGACCTGAGCCCACTGGCCGCGTCGCTGGAGGCCGAGGCAGGTCTAGACCAGCTGCACTGGGCCCCGGAGCTGCGTGTCTTTGCGGACTTTGGGAACCACACGAAAGCCGTGCGGCTGAGACCCCAGCCGCCGCAGGGCCTGGTGCGGGTGGTGGGCCGGCCGGAGCCCCGAGCGCAGTACGTGGACGCGCTGGGCTACGTGAGCCTCTTCCCCTTCCTGCTGCGGCTGCTGAGCCCCAGCTCCTCCCGCCTGGGGCCTCTGCTGGACGCGCTGGCCGACACTCGCCACCTCTGGAGCCCCTTTGGGCTGCGTTCCCTGGCGGCCTCCAGCTCCTTCTATGGCCAGCGCAACTCTGAGCATGACCCTCCTTACTGGAGGGGTGCAGTGTGGCTCAATGTCAACTACCTGGCCCTCGGGGCGCTCCAACATTACGGGCAGCAGGAGGGCCCCCAGCAGGCCCGGGCCGCCAAGCTTTACCGCGAGCTACGTGCCAACGTGGTGGGCAATGTGCGGCGGCAGTACCAGGCCACGGGCTTTCTGTGGGAGCAGTACAGTGACCGCGACGGGCGGGGCATGGGCTGCCGGCCTTTCCAGGGCTGGACCAGCCTGGTCCTGCTGATCATGGCTGAAGACTACTGACCGGAGGCCGGGAGGGAGGCCGGGTCCTCATGCCCTCGACTGGAGGGACAGGGCAGCTGGCCTCTGCCTCGACCTCCTCGGTGCCAATGCTTCAAATTCTCAGCTCAGGTGTAGACTTGCTGCCACCCCACAGCCCTGGGGTGGATGGGAATGTGAACTCAGAGTCTATTTTTCTAAATAAACTGAGAGGAAGGAAAAAAAAAAATGCCAGACGCTTGTGCCAGCTTTACCTCTCCCAGAGGTTCTGGCTGCCTTTTGCGTTTGGAACGTAGGAGAGGTGGGCACCTGCCCTCCAAACGCAGCTGGAGCAAGTCCGACCCAGGGAGCACCCAGTCCACACGCAGCTGGTTCACATCTCTTTAATGAGACCAAGGCTCCTGTGTGTGTCCTGGGGGAGTCAGCAGTCCCTACGCGCTCCCCTCTCCTGCCCCGCTTCGGGGGACAAGCCTCAGTGCAGTGAGTGGTTGGAAACGGGGGTGATTCCGGGTAAGCAAGTAGCCCGGCCACCCGCTGGAAGCTATGGGATGTCCCCTTCACTGGAAGCCAGCCCCACTGGAGACACGGGGAGTGTAGCGTCCAGGGGCAGGCCGCTGGGGGTGGCCGCTGCTCTGGCCTCTTTGAGTGGCTCGCTGTCACTGGGGTCGACACAGGGACCGAGCTCAATGCCCGAGTCACCGGTCAGGCGGCGAGAGCGGCAGGAGGGCGGCGTCGAGGCAGAGCTGGGTCCGGCCCCGGCCTCCCCCTCTGGGTGCCGGCTGTGTTGGTGGGAAGGGGCATCGCCCACGCTGGCGCTGCATCGAGGCGCAGAGGGGGTGGCCAGGGCCCAGGCCGGGGCCGCAGTGTAGGGAGGCGGCGGTGTACCAGGGCGGTGGACCACTTCCTCGTAGGCTGGGGGTTTGAAGGCGCTGAGCAGGCCTGCAGGGAGACAGCAGCAGAGCGGACGGGCTGAAGGCAGCAGGGACGGCGCCGTCCCTCAGCAGGGCACAGGGTACGCAGAGATGCCGGAGGGGTGTGCAGCCACTCACGAAGGTCCAGCAGTGACCCTGCAGGGACGGGGCCGGCCCCCTGGCATGCCCCATGGTAGGCCAGCAGGTTGATCTCCCGCTGCCGCTGCTGCTGCTGCAGCCGGAGCTTAGCTCGGCGGTGGCGGAAGGCACAACAGCAGCTGAAGAGGATGAGTACGGTCCAGAGCAGCCAGAACCCTATGGGAGGGAGGGTGTGTCAGGCCCCCCCCAGGCGGGCAGGGCCCCTGGGAGGGCGGCCGGGGGCCAGGGGACACCAGAGCCCAGGGACTCACACCAGAGCTCGTAGTAGTAGGTGCAGCAGCCGGTCTCCCCGCAGCAGTGGCCGCTGTCGCAGAGGTAGGGCTGGTTGTTGACCCCTGGACACAGCTCTCGAAGCTGGGAACAAGGAGGCACTTCACACCAGAGGTGGGCCCAGCCCAGGACACTGTCCACCCCAACCCCTACGTGCCCACACAGTTCGCCCCTTCCCCGCCACCCCCGTCCCGAAGCAGGTCTGGCCTGCAGAGCCCAGGGACAGATGCTCAGAGAGCCACCAAGCCTCAAGCTAGAGGACCAGCAGCAGGTGTGGACAAGAGGTGGACTTCAGCTCTCAGGTGTGATACGGCCCCACCCTCGAGGCCGGTGCCCCAGGTTAAGACATGGACTCAAGCAAGTGAGGTCACTCCCAAGGCCACGGGCCACGCCCGCGAGCTGGGTCCTGGCACCCCTGGGTCTCTGGGTCCCCAGGGTGGCGGCGGGCGGCTGAGCCCCAGAGCAGCGCTCCCAACCAGATGGGACTGATGTGGATGGTAAAGGATGGCATCCAGGGCGCGAGGCTGCCTCCCAGCTCTCCTCCAAATTGCTCCCTCAAGAGAAGACGCTGCTGGCCTCTGCTGTGACAATAGGCACACAGAAAAACATCACGAATAACTGTTGCAGGGCAGCGGGGCCTGCCTGCGCCTGCGGCCACCGGAGACTGCAAACTTGCACCGCGGAGCGGGTCTGCGAGGCGGCCGGCTGCGGCCACCTTGCAAAGTTTAGACAAAGCGCACAAGGGGCACCTCTGGGAGCTCCGCCGCCTCTCCGGCCCGAGTGCCGCCCCCGCCCCCAGAAGGCAGGGACGAGGAAAGGGGAGACGAATGTAAATGGCTGTCGCGATAGACTGGAGCTGCTGATACCTGCTGCGGCGGCGACCGAAGTGCCCCCCAGGCCTCCTCGCTGCCGTTCGCGCTGCTGGCACGAGCCATCCCTCCACTTACAGCCCCCTGACGACCACAGCCTCCTCTGCCGCCAGCCGCCCTGCCCCTGCCACCTCGGCCGCCACCACCATGGTCCCCGCCCGGCCCATCGCCGCGGCCGCCACCATCACTCCACGGACGGAGCGTCCATCCGGGAAGAGCTCTGCCAACTAGGACCCAGGTTGCTCGTCCCACCAATCAGCACCGCCCCTCGAGGAGCGGACCAATAGGAGCGGAGGAGGGGGTTTCTGACAGCAACCAATCAGGCGCAGCGCCTCAACCACTCTTCCAGACAACAAGAGGTCGCCCAGACAAAGGCTGGGAGGAGGTGCGACCACGGCCCCGACTGACAGCAACGACAGCCAATAGCGGGCAAGAGGGCAGGCCCCAGCGCCGCCCTCCAATGAGCGGCCGACGGGAAGGCCGAAGTTCCTGTTGATTGGCCCGGGTCGGGTCGAGGACTCCCAACGCCCGGTAGTCCCCGTTGGGTGCTGGCGGTGCCCAGGCCACAGGTGTCACCGTGAGCTGCGTGGGGGACTGGCCTGCGCGGAGCCCTGCACCCCGTGTCATACATGCCCAGGCGCCGGACCCAGCAGGCTGGGGGAAAGGACGTTTAATGACACTGACATCAGCAGGCGGGGTGGGGGTGCGGAGTCCAGGTGCGGCCCCAGGCCTACGTGGCCAGCAGCGGGGAGCTGGGGCCGTCGGGCGCGCCCAGGCGCATCTGCAGGTTGATGCGGTAGCACTGCAGGCTGCAGAGCGCGCGGCCCGTGCGGGAGCAGGCGTAGCAGCGCGGGTGCGGGCAGTCGGGCACGGAGCAGCGCGGGGGGGGGGCTCGCGGGGCAGGGGCAGGTGCACACGGCCACGGGCGCCGGCACCCAGGGGGGGAAGGACAGCGTGGCGCCCTGGGCCCCGCTGCTGTAGCGCACGGTGGGCGCCGGCGCCACCGCTCGCCCGCCTCGCCGTTCGCCCCGCGCCGCGCCGCGGCCCCCGCGCCCGCCCGGCGCTGCCGTCTTGGTGAGCCGCTCGATCGTCTGGTTCTTGTGCTCCTCCGCGCGCCGCGCCGCCTGCAGCCGCCGTTTCCGCGCGCGCTCCTCGCGCTTGAGCAGCATCTCCTCGGTGAGCGGGGGCGCAGGGCCGCCGGCCAGGGGCAGCGGCAGCACCGGTGACGGCTGGCTCCGGGCCTTCTGCAGCAGGGCGCGCTGGTGGGAGACAGACGGGGGTCAGCCGGGCGCAGGGAGACAGGGAGAGGAACACATTTGCCAGGTGCCTTGACCCTTCTGGGGGGGGGGGGAAGCAACTGCTCCACATCACCTGCCTGCCCTGCGCCCCAAAACTCAGGGTTCCTCCCAAATGCCACAGACCTTTTTCTTTTTCCAAAAAATCTCACTGTTGCCATCATATATGCTATCGAGCCTCACTGCGACCCTGAGAACAGCAGATCTGCACCCTGCCCTCCCTGCACCAGCCTCAGCACCTCCGATGTGCTTAAGCCCACTGTTAAGGTCACTGTGTCAGTCCACCTCATTGAGGGTCCTCCTCTCCCTCTCTGACCCTCCACTTTTCCCAGGATGATGTCCTTTTCCAAGGACTGGCCCCTTCTGTCAACACGCCCAGAGTCTGTGGGACCATGTTTCACCATCCTTGTCGCTAAGGAGCTCCTTGTTTGCACTTCCTCCAAGGTATACCGTCTCAACTGATGACATCATTTAGAAAATCGCTAAGGCCAAAACCTCAAGGTTGCCCTGGATTCCTCTTAAGTCCAAATAAATATCTACTTCCACAGTCTGACCAAGTGGATTGACACGGTGACTGCCGCCCAGAGGGGCTCGAAAGTGTCAGAAAGTATAATGATAGCACAGGATAGGCCAGGGTTCAGACATGTTGTTCACAGTGTCGCTAAGAGTCAGTCGTACTCAACAGCACATAATGACAACCACAGCCCTAATCCATCTCACCTGACCCATCGCCACGGTTGCCACATTGGTCCAAGTACCTGGTATTTCAACAGCGTCCTACTTGGTCTTAACCTCTCCATCAGAGATTCAAAAGAAGTCCTATTATGTCACATCTTTGCATACGATTCTTCAATGGCTTAGCCATACCTCTGCTTCTCCTTGGGCTTGCCATTCTGAGCCAAAGCACCCCTGGGTACAATGGAGCCCACCAGGGGGCCCGGACTGTGGAGACTGAACCATCTGCATAAGCACTGCTGGGTCCTGGCCACAATGTCTCAATCTATTTCATCCAACTTCCTCTGCTTTTGCTGACCCTCTACTTCCCCCAGCATTGTGTCCTCCTTGCCCTGAACCCCTCTGGGAACATGTCCAAAGTATCTGAGATAGTCTCATCATCTTCTAAGGAGCATTTTGGCTGCATTTCTCCCAGGACAGATGTTTATTCTTCTGATGGTCCTTGGGTCTCAGGGTCTTTGTGTCTGTTGCTTCTTCTGCCTGAAAAGCTCCTGTGGTCTTTGTAATGTCATTTTTCAGATTCTTTCCTTGTCCCCATATCTATGTTATCACCCTATTTTCATAATACATTTACACTCCTCATTTATCGCCATCAAGAGAGCACTGACTCATAGCTGACCCTCCAGCGGGTTTTCAGAGGCTGTAAATCACACAGGAGCTTGTTCCCCACAGAGCACCTGGTGGACTCAAACCACCTGCTTTTAAATTGGCAGAGCAACTCCTTATTCTTCACACTTATTTACTCCACTCACCACAGAAGGGAATCCCTGGGCGGTGCAAGCACTGGTGGTTCAAAGCCACCCAGACAGCTGCCTTAGAAAACAGGTCTGAAGATCTGCTTGTGAAAGGTCAGCTTTGAAAACCCCTATGGGGACAGTTCTGTGCCGCACACAGGGGTGATCCTGACCTGGAACTGATTCAGACAGCAGCAACAGCCCCCTGGAACACCAGGTCCGTGAGAACAGAAGTCATGTCTGCGTGCTGGTCCTTTCTCCACCATGTCGTGCCCACTGCCTGGGAAAGTGCCAGGACATGGAAACTTTACACTCTACCTCTGGGGCACAAATCCAGAATGGACCCACTCACCTGTCGGGCAGTAAGCAATCGCTCATTGATCTCTTTCTTCAGGTCCCCGTTGTCATCCAACTCGCCCTTCTCTAGGGCATCCAGCCACCTCTGTTCCTCCTCTTCCTCTTGACCTTCTAAGCTGCCGGACAGGTCCCGAAGTGGGGAGGGGGACAGATTACTGTCCTCATCTGGGGAGGTGAGTTGGAGTGATCAACGTGGGGGTTTATTGTGCTATGTTAGTACTGGTCATACTCAAGGTTCACACCTTCTCAGAGCCAACCCCTCCCCTTAAACAGGCGGGTTCAAAGAGGCGCCCACTTCTCCCCTGGTAGGGAGGGCCCTTCTCACCCAGCCAGGCACGGTACTGCTCCAAGGGCACTCCTTCCATGGGTTCCTCTTCATTATCCACCACCATAAGGGGAGAGGGTGAGCGAGGCCCCTCAGGTAACACAGTGAAGGTAGGCACGCTGCAGAGGAGGAAGCCCAACTTGTAACCCGAGGAGCATCTTCGCTGAAAGTCCCTCCTTTCTGGTGGCTTTATCCAGCCTGCCCCACACCCTCGTGAGTTCCTGCTCTCTTAACTTGGGCCCCGGTGCAAAGCTTTCATTCTGTCTCAGGATGCCCAACCAGCCTCTCCCACCTCTGCCCGCCACGCAGATGCCCCTGGACCTCACTTCTTGGTGCTCAGGACCTGCCCGCCCAGCTTGATCTTGAGCTTGAGCTGGGGTTTGGCAGGCGAAGGCTGCGCGGGTCCCGCGTCCTCTTCCTGATGATGTTTCTTCTTGTGCTTCTTCTTATGCTTCTTGTGTTTCTTCTTGTGCACGCCGTGGCCGTGGGCACCCGCCAGGCTCAGCTCCAGCGCTTCCCCTGCGGAAGGGGGTACTGTCATCGACTCTGGGGTTGGGGGACCCCAGGAAACCTACAGCTACGAGAGATGCCGCTCATCCCTGCGATCCCACCTGGGATCCTCAAAGCAACATCCCCTTCCCCATCCCACCTGTGGCTGGGTAACCTGGAAACGCAGACAATGGGGAGCCCTACGTTGCTCGGTCCCCCCGCGCTTACCCGGCTCAGGGGCCTCCATGACCCCGGGGGTGCTGCCGCGCCGCCACAGCTTGCTCATGGGATCCTGCAAGGAAGGGGGACCAGTCAGGTTCGGGGCGCTTGCAGACATGCCTTCCTGCCCGGCGGAAGCACTAGCTCCGCCAAAACACGGCCGGACACGCCTACTTCCGGAGCTCGGCAGCCATCTTTGTTGAGGGCGTGCGTTCCCGTCGAGAAAAATTCTCCCCGAGAAACAAGCATCATCGGAACAATGGTTCCGGAAAGCCCAGCGCGGGAGGCCCCGTTAGGATTATGCTCGAGCTGACCCAGCCCCCGCGGTTCCTTCCGTTCTGACTCCTCGCCACCCTCCTTTGGGGTTCTAATTTCGTATATCTCCACCGCAGGAAACTGCTCTCTTCTCTTGCCCGTTTCCTGCACATTTGCTGGATTTGAACCGCTAACCTTTAGGTTCGCAGTTCAGCAAATAACACACAGGGCCCTTGGGGTTTTCTCCTCCTGCTCCTTCTCCTCCTCTTCCTCCTCCTCCTCCTTCTCCTCGTCCCCTCCCCCTTCTCCTCCTCCTCCTCCTTTCCCCCCTCCTCCGTAATCAATGTTTATTTAAAAGGCAAGAGTCACAAAACAGAGGGAAAGACAGAAAAACTTCTTAACTCAGAGGAGACAGAGGAGACATGACCAATGAATGCAAGGCACCCTCTTGGATTAGAATTAATATTAATAGCGGGGAAAAAATCCTAGTGAATCCAGCTTGGGGTTTCCTTCAAAACCAAAAACCAAAGCCACCACGTGAGGTGACTTCTGACCCATGGCGACCCTCCATGGCTCTGAGGCTGTCTCTGGTTCTGGTGGATCAGAACTGTCAACCTTTTGGTTGCCAGGGGCTTGCCTTTGATAATACGTCCTTCTGTGCCTACTGACATTTTATAAAATAGGTGTATGCTTTCCCCAATTAAAACAGCAAAATGAAGGTGAATCTGTGTTGCTGGTGTATCAGACAGGAAAAACAGGATTCAAAATTGTGTTAACCACTTGAAGAGTCAATGTATTGTTATTAGGTGTCGTCAGGTCGACTGCAACCGATAGCAACCCTGGGAACAGATAGGGACCTAGGTGGGAAGCTTGTCCTATTTCTGCGCTATCCTCGTGATCTCGGATCTGTTCAAGGCCATTGTTACAGTCACTTTTTTCCCCCTCCCTGTTTTGTTGTTGTTGTTGTGTACCATTGAATTAGATCCGATGGCGCAGGAGGAGATTGTCCCTCCTTCTCCAGCAGAGCATCTGGTGGATTCCAATCATACACCTTCTAGATTGCAGCGCAGCTTCTTGCCACTAGGCCACCAGAGCGCCCTACTATCTTTTTTAAAAAAATAAAATAAAAATTTTCGGTTTGAATCCACCAGATGCTCTGCTGAAGAAGGAGGGACAATCTCCTCCTGTACCAGTCAGATCCAATTTCACGGTACACACACCACACACACACACACACACACACACACACACACACACACAAGATAAAATAAATAAAAAATAAAATTTTTATTTTATACTGGTTTACTTACCAAGTTCAGATAAATTGTTTTCACCACCAGATCATTTCTATTTTGTTTATGCACCCCTCCCTCTTCCCATAAAATTGTGTGACCCTGTAATTACCTCCCCACCCCTGGCCATCCTCATTCCTCTGCTTCTACCCTCCCCGGTTGGATCCTAATACATGTTTTACTAGTTATTTTTCTATTGCTACCACAATGGTCTTATACAGTATTTGTCCTTACAGGACAGAGTTAGTTCACTTAGCACAACACTTTCCAGTTCCTCCCAAGTTAGGTCATGATTTTCAAAATCATCGCTTCTGCATCCTGCGTAGTATTCCATTGTGTGAATGTACCATGGTTCGTCATCTTGTTGAGAGCTTTCAGCATCTATACGGAGAAAACCGAGGCATACATGCCATTGTTGTTGTTACATGCTGTCAAGTTGCCTGCAACTCATAGCAACCCTGTGTCCAACAGCTCTGAATGTGCTCTATCCTGAGCCAACTTTAGTGTCTCTGACACACCTACCTCATTACCCGAGTCACTGAGTCAATTGAGGATCTTCCTTTCTTTTTTTTAAGTAACTTTTTTCTTTTTATTTTATTAATTTTAGTCAAAGTTTACAGAGACTTTGGATTTCCATTCATTCATTGTTGCACTTTCTTCCCTGCCCACCCCTCCCCACAGTTTGTTTTTCTCTTTGAAAAGTAAGAAAAAAATATTTTATTGTTATACAGTCCTCCCCCCAGTCCACTCCACTAAGCAGATTTCATTCTGGACTCTTGTCATGATAATAATACCTAATCATATATTCTTCCCAAACAGTTCTCTCCCTCATCTGTTTCAATGCAGTGTACATTATTTATCCCCTCTTTTCTTAGTTTCCCTCCAACCCCCATGTCAGTCTTGTTTTACAACAGTGGCACTATGCAGTATTTGTCCTTTTGTGACCAAGATATTTCACTCAGCATAACGTCCTTCAGGGTCACTCATTTTGTATAATAATTCATGAGTTCCTTGTTTTTTAATGCAGCATAGGATTCCACTGTGTGAATATACCACAGCTTCTCTATGCATTCGTTTGTTGATGGGCACTTGGGTTGTTTCCAACTCTTTACTATTGTGAACAAAGCCACGATAAACATGGGTGTGCATATATCTGCTTGGGTGGCCGTTCTAGTTTCTTTAGGTTATATTCCCAGTAGTGGAATTGCTGGGCCAAATGGTATTTCTCTTTCCAACTTTTTGAGAAAGTGCCATACTGCCTTCCAGAGTGGTTGTACCATTTTACACTCCCATCAAGAGTAAATAATGGTTCAGTTTCTCTGCAACCTCGCCAGCATTTGTTATTTGCTGTTCTGTGAAATTTTGCTATTCTTACTGGGGTGAGAAGATATCTCATAGTTGTCTTGAGAGAATCTTCCTCTCTTGTGCTGTCCCTCCACCGTCCCAAGCATGATGTCCCTCACCAAGGTCTGGCCCCTTATTCATGGTGGCTGACTTAAGACAAGGGGAGTTTTGACTGTCTACATCTGTGATGCGCTTTTCTTATTGCCAGTATATACACATATTTTAAATTAAGGAAACAGCAGCTGCATGGACGTATATAGAAAATATATGCAGATGTGTGTATGATGAAGACAGCACTAATGAAAAAAGAAAGAACTAATTCCAGCGACAATTCAGGAGTACAAGTAACAAGTGTTAATAAGTGGTTATAGATGAGGATCAGGAAGTGGGCCAAAATAGTGTAATGATTAAGAGATTAAGATTAAGGGAAAGGACTTTGGAGTCAGACAAGCCTATGATCAAATCTCAGCTCCATCACTTATTAACAGCGCAACCTTGAACACTTTCTGGGATAGAGATGGAATAATAGCTACCTCACAGGGTTCTTCCAAGAAAAGTAAGCAAAGCAAGAATGGAAAATGCCTGGGATAGTTCCTGGCACCCTCACAAACGCCCAGTGAGCAAACAGTGACTGGACGGATAACTTCTAGGCTCCTGACCCAAGTTCTTAGGAGGAAAGAACAGTGGAGTGTATTTTGTTGTTTTGTTTTTTTAGTAAGAAAGAGACATAAGAGAAATAGGGGCACTCTGGTGGCCTAGTGGCAAGAGGCTGCATTGCAATCCTAAAGGTATGTGGTTTGAATCCACCAGATGCTCTGCTGGAGAAGGAAGGACAATCTCCTCCTGTACCAGTCAGATCCTATTTGATGGTACATGCACACACACACACACACACACACACACACACACACACACACAAATAATTAAAAAAAAGAAAAACAAGTAAGAGTGGATATTTGACCCAAGGGGAACTTGCAGAATCTGTGGAACCGAGAAGCCCTGGTGGTGCAGGGGGTCTAGGGTCTAGTATGGGAAGCCAAATTTCATACAGAATATGTGTAGTAAACCGAATGCTATTTCAGGATGTGAAGGAGGCGTGTACAAGCTGGAATTCACCCTGAAGCACTAAGGCAAGCCTTAACTGTTTACAGGGGATGGACACTAAGGCAATCTTTAAGCATTTACAGGATTCTTGCGTTGTATTTGCTAACCCCTCCCTCCTGAGTCAAGCATAACCTTTTCAATAGAAAGAGCTTATCTTCATTTGCATAGAATTTTCTTGATGATTTGCTTCCTGTCAATTTTCAATAAAGGCACAGGGAAGCTAAGGTTGGAGCTTCAGTTCCCTTCAGTTGTTTGGGAACTGTTCGCTTCCTGCTCCACCTCTGTTTTCTCCTACATTCTTGGTGTTCTGTCTCGTTATTAATACATGACCACTGACTGCTAAAGATTTCTAACGCTGGCAGCCTCGTGGGGCAGCTCTGCTCCGTCCTGTAGGGTCTCTGTGCCTGGGAACCTTCTCTGCAGGCAGGCAGTTGGGGTTTGTTTTGTTTATAGGGGAACTCAGCTAGACACAGAGAGGGATGGTGGATGGAAAAGCTGGGAGACTTCAGTGCTGGAAAGCGTGCATGCGACCGTCACCTGTGTCATAGTGGAGCTCCTGAGGGACGGGACACAGGAGTGAAGAGAAGGGCCTGCCCTGAACCTGCAGGTGGAGGGGCCAGGTAGGGCCCAGAGGTCAGGAGAATCAGGGCACTTCTCCTACCCTCCTGCAGAGAGCAGGCTGACCTGAGAGGAGATTCATGCTCTTTCGCTGCTCCTGGGAAGACGCTCCAGTGGGTTTTTGGAGGCAATACATTACATAGGAGGAGACTGCCCTTCTTTCTTCTAAGGAACACCCGGGGAATTCAAACCAGCAGTGAGGGCTGGCCTTTGGTTTGGAAGCTCAGCTCCCAGTACACCACGAGAGCTCCTGAGGGGTGGTGTTTGAGCGGGATGGAAGAGCTGTCCTCCCATCTCAGCAGGCATGACCAGAACTTGGGTGCAGATACTTGTTTGTAGATACTGCTGTTGACTCAATCGTGTTTCCTAACTATCCACGTTGAACCCCTGGCCCTCCCTTGAACCTGTGTGTGTGTGTGTGTGTGTGTGTGTGTGT